TTTAGTTAAAATGCCCCTGCCACCATTTTGAAGTGCAGGGACACTGAATACGTGAGATAGGGAGGCTGATGGAATGCGCTAATCGGCACGCTTCGGTCCGATGTGCTGTAATTACAGTGCATCAGAGCAGCATCCCTGCATGTCTACAGGCACCCATGTGCCTAATTTCCCCTCTGTTGTTACCAGTTTGCTACCAGTGCAGCTGCACTGATGTTAGTGGAATAATTCCAGCAAGCAAGTCAGGAATAAAGGAGAGGGAGAATTGAGATCAAGAAAAGGTTTTAATTTTTTATTTTTTTTAAGTGAAAATAACCCCCCCCCCCCCAATGGATTGATCCATTTCCAATATGGAAGCCTCTGGAGGGAATAAAAAAGGCAGTGTACCCAGCACATGGTGACTGTGGTGAGGGATGAAGAAGAGGGCGAAAGAAAAGCTGGCAGAGCTGGCCAGCGGGGTGGAGCGGTTGCCCCAGAAGAGCCCAGAAGATGACTTGTTGAACGGAGAGTGTCAAGCAGCCCTGTCCCCTAGCCCTGCCACGCGTGAGTGTGGTGTTGGTGCACAGCCAGTGCACAGAGGGTCCAGGAGCAGACCAAGGCACTGGAGCTGCAGGCAGCAGCTCGGTCCTCCAACCCCTGCACAAAGCAGGGCACCCAGTGCATGGAGGGGCAGAGGGGAGTTGTTAGGAAGGCTAAGGCGGACACAGAACTGGAACTAGTGACCTGGATCAAAAACAACAAGAAGTCCCTTTTTTTAAATAAATAGGGAGTAAAAAGAAGGCACTGGGTAATGTGGGCCCCTTGCAGGACACACTTGGCAATCTGGTGGTTGCACCAGAAGATAAAGCTGACCTCTTTAACAAATTCTTTGCCTCCATATTTCTGAGCAGGGACTGGGACATCCCCCGCACCGGGATCCTGGATGAACTCAGGAGAGGCACAGCCAGGCCCAGGGTCACAGAGAACCTGGTCAGGGAACTTCTGGTGGGACTGGAGATCTTCAAATCAGCAGGTCCAGATGATCTCCACCCAAAAGTGCTGAGGGAATTGGCAGAGGCCATTGCAGGATCCCTGGCACAGCTCTATGAGCACTTGTGGTGCTCTAGTGAGGTGCCAGAGGACTGGAAAAGGGCCAGTGTGGTCCCCATTTTCAAAAAAGGGATGAAGGAGGACCCAGGAAACTATAGGCCCGTTAGTCTTACCTCAGTCCTGGGGAAATGCTTTGAGAAAATTATCCAAAAACACATCTGCGAGGGACCAGCAGGGGAGACTATGCTTAGGGGCAACCAACATGGGTTCATTAGAGGCAGGTCCTGTCAGACCGACCTGGTGGCCTTCTATGACCAGGTCACAAAATCCTTGGCTGCAGGTGTCATGGTGGATGTATTCTTTCTGGACTTTAAGAAGGCCTTTTTGACACTGTTGTTCACCCCATTCTCATCAAAAAATTAGGTGACTGTAGCGTCGATGCCTACACAGGTGACTCGCACAGGAGACGTGTGCTGCGTCGTCAGTGTCTGAAGGAGTTGTGAGTAATCTGGGGAATGGGGTTCCCACAGGGGAGGGAGGCCTACCCCACTCTTGGTGTCCCCAAAGGAAAGGGCTTGCAGGTCAGGGCCTGGGTGAGTTGGGCAGAGTTATGATACCCCCTTTGGACCTTAGGGTACTGCTCTTTTCTTTCTTTTGCCTTTTCTTATCCCCGGGGTAGTTCCTTTCAGGTGTCCACAGCTGCACTTGGGCAGAGTGTTAACTTTGGTTTTAGGTAAACCCTGTGCCTCTCTGTGGGCTCTGCACCTCATTGCTTTGTAACTTCATACCTTATTAGAGCATAAGACTGCATATTGTTCTGTGAACCCCCCTGCTTTGTCTTTCTGACCCCTCGCCCGTATATAGAGCATTTCATTAGCTCTGTAAATATCTATAGCTGTAGTTCATATGTATATTCTATTAAATCAGTATATAGTTAAATCTCAACATGTGTTCTGGCTTTTCTCTATAGGGAGGGGGAGGAAAGCTGCATGCAGCAGGGCAGCTACTCCTCCAACAGTGCATTTGTACCTGGTTAACATCCATTCATTTGGAGAGGGTTATATACCTGAGTACCACCTGGGTTACACTTGCTACTCTCAGATCTTGTTCCCTTGACATTTAACTTTTTTTTGTTTTGCACGTCCATTGAATATCAAACCAATGAAAGCCACAATACTTGGCAGTGGGGGTCCCATGTGTATTTTTTATTCTGTGACTGGTATATGCAACTTCTAGCTATTAAGATTATTTAATATGCTTGGCACTTGAATGGTTTCAAAACTGATATGATAACTAACATTCTGTAGCAAAGCTAACACAACAGAGAACCCCACACTTGTACTATGCTCTCTCATGGAGACAGCTTTGCAATTTTTCTTTATCCAAGACAAGAAAAATCAGACTCATTTTATGGGAGGATGCAAATATTTCCAGGCTTTGCTTACATGTGCTCCATCCAAATCAACTTTGCTAGTCTAAGGGCAACCTGAAAAATCTAGCCATTGTTGGTGCATCAGTTCCTGTCCCTAAGGAAAGGGGTATGAAAACAGTTAAGTTACTATTTTGGTGTATGCATTGGTGCATTTGCCTTGGAGGTTTTACAACTAGAAATCAGCCAGACTAGGCTCTAGTCTAGCTCCATCTCCTCTTGGTTCTATAGGGCTAAAAGCAGTGAAAACTTGTTCCAGTTGCTAACAAAGTAAGAGGATGACACTGTGTACAAAAAGGGGTACATTCTGCTGAATAAGAAGATACCATTTGGATGCAAGTTCTTCTGACATCCATAAATTTACTATTATTATGGGGCCAGGTAGTGCTGCAAGAGCTCCAAGATGCTATACAGTAGGGCTGTGCGAGGCTTCAGGTGCTGAGTCCATTCGGAGGAGATTCAGCCTGATTCAGCGGCTGAATCTCCGAATCTGAATCGAATCAGGAGACCAATAAGAAGGTCTGAATTGATTCAAAGCTCTCCCAGTCAGTTCGGAAAAGATTCAGAGAGCTTTGGAGATTTCGGCAGTCCCTGCTCGCCACTGCAGGGAGCTGGACCTGGACTCTGTGCTGATAAGTAGGGGAGGGGGGGCTGGAGCAGGGGGGACCCCGGTGAGGCCCCATCCCCTGCCTGCGCTCCCAGCCCGGCCCCAGTTCCTGGCTCTTAAAAAAACAAAACAAAAAAACAAAGCCCCCACTCACTGGCTGCTGCAGCAGCTGTTGGGACTCCTGGGGGCTCATGGCAGAGCCCCCATGCAGTGGGGGGCAGTGGGGATCGCCCCCCACCACTTGGCAGCAGCCAGTGAGTGCGGGGCTTTTTTTTAAAGAGCGGGGAGCAGGGCCAGGTGGGGCAGCCATAGGGGGGTGGGTGAGAGCAGGCAGGGGCTGGGAGGCTCATGGCAGAGCGCCCCCCATGCAGCATACCCTCCTACCTGCTCTGAGTGGGAACTTTTCTTTTTTAAAGAGTCAGGAGGCTGCGGCCGGGTGGGGCAGCCATTGACGGGGCTTGTAGAGTGGGCAGGGGATGACGCCTGTCTGATTTGGCCAATTTAGCAGCAGCCAAATCGATTTGGGACAGAGATTCGCATCACTGTCCCCCGAATTGGCCGAATCCAAAGTGAATACTAGCTGCTTTGCACAGGCCTACTATACAGGTTCTAATCCAAAACATAATGGAAGTCTTTTTATGGGATTTAATACAATGTGGATCAAGCCCTCATATGGAAGAACTGATCATAGAGAAGTAGGGCTTGAAGGGACTTCTATAGGACTTCAGCAGTCCAACCCCTTGCCTGAGGCAGGATTATCCCTGTCCATGGGCTGGTACATTAGAAGGTGAAAAGGAAGCTAGGACAGAGACCATTAAATCTAAACTGCAAGTAAAAGGGATGTGATGCTAGTATGAGGGAGAAGAAGGGGGTTAGGTGTACAGGTTGCCTGGGGTGGGCTCTCTTACCCCAGTGTGTTCTGTTTGGTGCACAGGTGAAGTGGTGCCAAGCCTTCATCACTCAGGAGGTTGGGGTTGGCTTTGTGCTCCAGTAGCAGCTCCACGCAGTCTGTGTGGCCCCCTGCACAGGCCTCATGCAGAGCACTCAGGCCTCCTGGAGCCAAGTTGGGGTCTGCCCTCCAAAAGAGCAGGTGACGTAGGCAGGTTGTGTGCCCATGGTTGGCAGCAATACACAGTGGGGTGGTCAACTCCCTTTTGTACTCTAGGGACCACAAGCCTATAGGGCAGAAAAGAGAAGAAAGGTGGTTAAGCCATAAGACTGGGACTCCTGAGAATTGAGTTCTGTGGGACCAGGGGTAAAACTTTTAATTTTAAGTGACCCAACCCGCCTGCCCTCTTCAAAATCAGTACTTCCTTTATCACCGACATAAGGCTGACTCCATTAGTGTTTACACAGCCCTGTTCATACATATTTGAGTGGAAACCAACAGATAAAGAACTGAGTTCCATAGTAGATGGAAATGCCAAAAAGTCTTTCTCTCCTGTGAACAGAATACACATGTGCCCTTTGGTGGCGGGGTGGGGGTGGGGAATGCTAATCTTGGACTATCTATGTCTGTGTGCTGAACTTCTGTTCTTTTATGGATATAGAAGAGTTTCCAATCACTTGTACTGATAAAAGTGTAATGTTTGTACCTGGCCCTGTACATTGCATCTAGTAAGTGTTAAATCTTTCAGCAGTGGGAGCTTCAGTGGTTCAAATGCAGAGCAAACAGGCTTGATATGTGTAAGCCTGGCACACAGTGCATACAGAGGGCGTTTTGGGAAAGTTTCAACCGGCAGAAAATGCCAGGGTTTTAGCAGCTCTTTAATGCACTTTGCTTTTGAACAGAATTACTGACTCCTTATTCCACATAAGTCTGATTTATTTCATTCTGCTTTTTTAGTGTGTGTGTGTATGTGTGTGTGTGTGTGTGTGTGTGTGTGTAGCCATTGCTCTCTCCCTGAATAAATCAGAGGAGTACACTGCATGTTTTTATCTCTCTGAAAACTTTGGGGGTTTCAAAAGGCCTGTTTAAGGCTGTTAGCCACTCTGTGCAATGGTGGCTGTAGGGGAATAAAAATTCCCCAGTGAATACACATCAATGGACAGGATTTCATATGGCAGGAATACCTTCTTATAATGATGGAAGAATCGATATTGTGCCTGTAATGAGCTGCAAAGGGTATCTTATTCACAGACTTAACTTCTTCCCCTGAGCCCCATGCTGCGATGTTTTAAAAGGCTGCTCATTAATTACCTACCTGAATCTAATACAGATTTGTAACCTGTTGGGAGCCTGGACTTATCTCTGAATGTGTAGCTTACTGGGAAAATGTTTGCAGTAGTTCGGTATGGACGGTGCCTGAGCCACAGTATGGATTTGATGTTCTTTTGGACTGGTCATGGCAGCTGCCCTTGCAATGACAGCATTGGTCCCACTGAAAATTCCCTTCTTGAGCTCTTCATGGTCCATTCAGGTGGGTTGGCTCTGCTGCATCCCAGTTCTATAGTGATCAGATGTACCAGCTGTTCTCTTCTACTCTTCCTTCCTCCCTCTCCCCGCTTGCTTTATGTACACGCACTCCCTGTAGATCAAGACGCCATTACACACAGTAGGCCAAGCCCTTTGCAACTCAGAGCATTGGTCTGCGTCAGAACAGGAATACCTTTATCTATCACAGCACGTTGGTGGTATCCTAGTGCCTCCCAAATGTGTAGTAACTTACTTTTCACAGCACCTCTGTGAGGTGCTAAGGGAAGCATCATCCCTTTTTTGCACTGAGGACCTAGGCAGAGAGAGAATGACTTGCTCAAGGGCATACAAGAAGTCTTCTGGAAAGCCAGGAAGTGAACCCCAGTCTCCTGTGTCCCAGAGCAGTACCTTATCTGTGTGAATAGCCTCCTTGCCTTTGTGCATGCCCAAACCCTGAATGTTTTTATTCCCCTTATCTTCAATTATAGACCCAATATGTACCAAGCTGCTTCATTATAGGGAGGATGGATGATATTGATTCACAACAAAGTTTTGAAGGAGATGCTTTATATATATATATATATATATTTTTTTTTTCTTTTTTTTTCTTTTGACTTTCTATTTGTGGGGTTTTGTCCCAGCTTTTCCTGTGGCTTGTGGATCGTGGAGAACACTTATTAGTGCTGTAGAGCTTATGAAACTCGGATGAACATTACTGAGTCCATTCAATACAGTACAGTGACAAACACACAGTAGGGAGAATGTGTGGACTCACTGTGACACATACTTTCTCCAGGAAGTGTTTAAAGAACTGACTAGATAAATCTCACCCCTCAGACATCTGGGATTTGGTTCAAATCTTATTTCTGACACCACTCACAAATCCCTGACACCTAGAACTTCATGGCACCGGCTGAGAGAGACTTCAAATCTCTCTGCTTCAGAAGTATACCCCCTGCCACTTGAGCTAAAGGGACATTTCTGTTAGCTGTTAGTAGGATAGGGCCTGATCTCAATTACGGTTGAGTAAGTGTGACTCTGAGGGGTGGCACATTGTTAACAAGTGGTGTTTTTATTCACCTGTCCATGGGTGGTTAATGTTTGTTCAGAATTCTTGTTAGAGACAATGTAATAATAAGTGTAGTTAAATGTTCATTTATTAACCTACAAGGATTTATTCCCATTTTTACATTGGCTTTATGGAAGCATTTTTCACTTGAATTCTTAGAAAATCCTACCCTGTTTTATTAAGCTCTGTTGAAGCATGTGCCTAAATTCTAGCAGGTGAATAGGTCTACTGGATTCAACTTCACTTGCTTAAAGTTAGGCAAACATTTACATGCACCTAGGCCCCCAGGGTATGGCCTGGTGGCACTCTCCTGACCATCTAAATTCTTTTCCTAAGCTGAAACCAACCAATCTTTGCTGGCTTTTTTTCACTGGCTTCCTGGATGAACTTATTTAATCCCCTTTCTTGCTTTGTGCCTCAGTTGTCCAATCTGTAAAATGGGAGGGGGAAATAATAGTGCCTATCTATCTGTTTTGAGACTGACCAATTAAAAAGTGCTATGCAGCAACTAATTACTGTTTAAATGCCTTGCTGAAGTAGGATTCCAGTCTTCATGAAGGCAAAATCCCCATAAATTTCATCAGGAGTTTTTCCCAAATAAGGGGTTAGTAGAGAATGCACGATTTGGTCTTATTTTATTTATGTAGAGTTCTTTGTAAAGCATAATATACTATGCCATAAAAAGAGTTTAAGAAGTATAACTAGCAAAGTTACATGGGGACTTTCTATAATTCTCCTTTGCTGCCTTGTTTTGTTCCCTCTGACTTTGGCCCAGGATGGCTTTCAGCAACTTGTCATTGTGGTCAAAGCACAGTTTAAAGCTGCTATGAGCATCTTGATTGCTGTTTTTGGAAATGCATTGTTGCCTTTCAGACAAACCAACAAAAATGAGAGGGGATTAGTGCAACTGGTAGTGCATTGTTATGGAAGGTGTTGTACAGCCAGTGAGCTTGGTCCATGGCTGAGAACAGGGCCACAAAGTGTACAGAACATCATTTCCCATGAGGCATTGTGGCCGATCAGGCAGAAGTAAAGATTTAGGCTGACCTGAAACCAAACTAAATATTTTGTTTCCTTCCCTCCCTTCCTCCCCCTTTCCCTTGGTGGAAGATTTCAGCCCTATGTCTTTCAGCAGGGGAAAATGTATTTCAATGAAACTCCCTTTTCTGACCATGAAATAATTAGGTCAAAGTTGTTTTGTTTTTTTGTTTTTACCTGTTTCAGTACTGGGCATGGTCCATTGTCCTTCATAGGCTAAACTAGGGGCACAGTAGGAGGGAAATAGGGTATAGAGAGTGCTCCCTACTTTTCACAGCCCTTCCTTAGTGCTTCAGGTTTCAAAACAGGCTGCGAGGGAGCATGTCTGCAGTACCACGAGCATATCGTGCAGTTCTGAATTACCATGCAATTCCATGGGCCAAGAGCAGGGCCAGCCTTAGGGGTAGGCAACACTGGCGACCACCCAGGGTGCTGTAGTCAGGGGGTGCGCCACGCACACACACACGTATGAGTGGCCCATGAGGACACACAAGTATGAGTAGCCCACGTTCACAGCAGCGCTCTGCCCCAGCCTGCCCTGGCTGATCTCCACACTAGCAGGAGGAGCAGTACCCAGCCTGGCCTGCTCCCACCTCTAGCCGCTGTTCAGGAGGAGCTGGGCAGGGCAGTGTGGGTGGCAGCAGCAGTGCCTGTCTGCCTGCCTGGCACACCACACCACACCACTCCACCTCCCCACTGGACTGTGCCCCATGCCCCTCATGCCTGTGTCTGCCTGCAGCAGCACCACTGACTTGGGAGGGGAGGAGGGGAGCCAAAATAGGATTTTGTCCAGGGCACCATTTTCCCTAAGGTGGGCTCTGGCTAAGAATAGGCAAAACCAGCACAGGTGTGAAATGCTCTGCTTCCAGTCGGGTACAACAGATAACAGACTTCCTTTTCCCTATGCACTGCAGAGTCCCAGGAAACCTTCCCCTTTTCCAAGATGCAGTGTTTGCAGGGTGCCACCTTCTGCAGTGCAGTTCTGCATCCTTTTATCTCTCTCTGCCATGCAAAACGGCACCATCTAGCCAAATGGGACTGTTTGAGCACTATAAACTTCTAATATGCCCAAGTGCTTTAGGCTCCCATGTGCTGTTTTCGAGAATGATTTAGGCTCTTGAACCCCTGAGATTGTTTGTTTTATCTTGGTTCTGCCAGTGAGAATTTGCATAAGCACAGAAATCCCCACCCCCCTTTTTTTTGCTTGGAACACTTGCTAACAGTGAAACACTTCAAACATTCATCACAAAGGTAGAATTCACAGGACAGACAGTATATTAATCGAAACAGAAATTAGCCATCTCTGTAACTTTCTAACAGGTTATTAAACACAGCATAATGCATTTAGAACAAATGCATTACTTCTCTCTCAGTTTGGGTTAGTAAGTGCCTGATTATATTTCAAACTGGTCCTTGCAAGCAAGAGTACCTGACAGTCCAAAAGAGGCCTGGCTTTTCACTTGCCATTCCAGCTCATCTTTATTGATCTCAAAAACCACATTCACATCTTCATAGTATTTATCAATCAGGACCTGGAGATTTCTCAGGTCTCCTGTGACCAGTGCTGCATAGTATTTGTCCACTGGTGCATGGGCTGTTAGTGGGTGCTCTGATTCCGGCTTGGGAAAGATCTGTAGCTTCTCTACAATGGGTCCTGGCAGCTCACCCATGGCAATGCTCTGCAACTGATTTTAGTATAAGATCTAGTAGTGAGGATGGATGGTCTTTTATAGTTTGTTATTTCCATTGTCCTGTTATCATTGTCCAATTATAATCCAGTTAGGGCTCTATTGTTGTTATATTTATAACTCTAGAGGGGTCAGGTGATAATGGTTACTTGATACTGTTAGGGTCATATGGACTTCTGGATGCAGCGACAGTGAGCTTAGACTAGTTACATATATACATATGTATGTAATCACAAGGTGGTAGCTGAGGTCAAATGTTCACAGTGCAGTCTTGTGTCAGCACCTCTGTGATTAAACTCCTGTTTTAATTCCAGACAGCAGCCTGGCAGGGGAACATACAAGTTTAGTCTTTGAGGAAAATTTTTCTCATAATTTAAGATGAGTCAGCCCTGTAACTCCTGTTTTTCCCTGGGAAGCAAATGTTAAGTCACTTGTAGTGCTTCTAGGACTTGTGAAAAAATATGCATTAAGTGTTTTAATCTGAGACTGATTTTTCTCCCCCCCACCCCCGCCAACACTTAGTACAGTTTCTGTTGTACAAAAGACAGCCATTAGATGGGATGTGGTTATCATTCACTGATAAGACTATCCTGTTTACAATTCGGCAGTATCTTCAGAGATCTCTAAGCACTTGGCAAATATTAATGAGTTTGAAACTTTACTGCACCTCTGTGATGGAATGATTCTTATCCCTATCTTATGTCATAGGAAATGGAGAGAAGCCAGTCCTGCTGCCATGCAAGTTAACAGCAAAACCCTCTTGGACTTCTTAGAGGGATCACAAAGGTCTGTGCCTTCACTAATGTCAATGGGAATTTTGCATTGCAGACAGGATCAAGCCCTGTGTAATTTACTCAAGGTCATAGGAAAAGTCTGGCAAACACAATACAGGTCTCCTGACTCCTGTGGCTCAGGGAAAAGACTATACCTCTTTAATGGATAGTTTTGTATAAACTGAAACTTTTTTTAATATCGCTGCCCTAGCGGCCCCACCTCACTCTGTTCTCTGAACTGATAACTAAACATCTCTGCTGGAGAAAATACTCTAAGAACAAATGGTCTAAAGAAATGGGAAAGCATACAAAGCCAGGAAACAAGGTAGAAGTGGAAGGATCTAGGCTTTGTGATACAATTCTGTTGCAGTTTCCAGAGTAAGCAGGGTTAATCTTGGGAGAATGAGAGATTATGTGGGGGCACAGACAGAAGTTACATTTGTCATATGATCAGCCACTTAAAAATGCTTTATAGCCATGCCCTAACAGAAGTGCATGGCTGCAGAGTGCTTTAAAAGTCCCAATCACATAACAAATTAACCCTCATTATATGCGGGCTCAAATGAAGGTACTCCAAAGCAGAGCACTTTCATTAGCTTGCGTCTAATTGGGCAACTGGGCTGATGCAGTCCAGCTTTGCCCCCAGTGCTGTTTGCGTGATGGGAGTGGGGGAGAAAGGAGGGGAGGAAGCTCAGGCTGGGGTTTGCGCAGCCTGTACTGAAGTGGGGGTGGATGGATTGGAGCCCCGACCCTGAGATGGGAGTGCCCCCACCTCTAGTGAAGGCTGGGCAAACTCCAGCCCAAGCTCCCTCCTGTACCCCCTGCCACGCCCCGCCCCCCACCGCTCCCATCTTGCAGACAGTGCAGGAGCTGGGGGAGTGTGGGGTGGTGGCAGAGCTGGGGGAGAGGAGCTGCAAATACTCAGCTCCTGGCTAGATCAGTTCCAAATTAGAGTTTGATCCCCCACACTCCCAACCCAACGGTGAATGTTCTGGGTTGGGAGGGTCAGTCTAACTCATGGGGCTTTCTGTGAAGTGTCATGAGTTAGCCCAGGGAGCTGAACATCTGTCAATGACCTGGGTAATAGTAGGAAGTGGTTCAGCATTTCTGTATAAGGTGTGTGTCACAGCTGTTTCCAATATATCAGTTATCCAGTTTCTCCACATTTTGTTAAGTTTTACTGCTTTACTTTCCTTTTACCTTCTTATTTCTCCATTGTACTGGTGTATGCAGGGACGGATCCAGAGGGGGTGCAGTGGCATGGCTGCACCCCCACTTTTCAAACTGGACTACCCTGTGGGAGCTTTTTGGGACTTTAAAAAAGCCCCCAAAGCAGATGACAATCCCTCCCATCCTTCTCTGTGCTTAAAGGCACATCTCCACCTCTCCTCTTCCCTCCCCTATTGCCTGCTCCAGCTGGGCTGCATGGGGGCTGGCCTCAGTTGGGATAGCAGTGGCAGTGGTGACGTGTGGGGGATGGAGTCCTTCACCCTGTCTGATTCCCCCAGGAGCAGGTGTGGGGAGAGGAACCCTCAACCCATAGCCACTGCCACTGTTGTCTTTGCTGAGCTCCATGCAGCCAGCTGGAGTGGGCAGCAGTGGCTCTGAAGTTTCTCTTACCCCGGGAACAGAGGGGAAATCAGCAGTGGCAAGCAGGGAGGAGAAAGAGGGGGAGAGGAGGGAATGGCATGCGTCTTGGAGCATGGAGCAGAAGGGGAAGGGGGTTCTTACTTGCTTCGGGGACTTTAAATAAAGAGCACTGAGGGGTGAAAGGCTCAGTGTTGAGAGTGCAGTCACCCCTTCAGCACAGATTGCTGCTCCCACAACACCTTTGCTAAATCCTGGATCTGTTCAGGAGAGGGAGAGCACATCACTACGGAAGTCACACTGAACTTCTGCAGTATGGAGTCTAGAAATATCAGGCTGGATCCCAGATGCACGCTTGATCTAAAGAACCTCAGTCCTTTGAGGGAAGCGTAGTCTTGACGTTTGGATTCAGATCAGATTATTCTCAATGCTTACAGACTGATGAATCCTCAGCTCCTTGATATTTTACTTTTTCCTTTAGACTTTGAAAAAGGAGACTCTTCCTGAATTGTATATTGGCTTGTATCCATGTACTCAAAGCTTTATATACATCTCTCTCCAGTTTTCACATGACCTATAGCCTGGAGTTGCTCTGTCTGGTCTTGACCAAGCCTCTTTGCCTAAAGTGTTACTCTGCCTTGTTCTGCTTGATATAACATCACTCAGAGCCTTTTTAAAAGACAATTGTCTTTTAAGCAATGGCAGGAAAACTTTCTGGAGGAGTGCAAGACAGCAATGAATGTACAGTTTGTGTTTGGACTGGAATAAGTCTACTTGGTTAATATTTTTGGAGTTTGCTATATTCCAGCAAATAAATTCATAGCAGTATTTTGTATTGCTGTAGAGGAAACCTGGTTTCAGCTCCTGATCTTTTATTGACCATACAATAAGCAACTGTGAATGCCATGAGCTCTCTGCTATTGTAGAAAGAGTTTACCCTCCTTGTGTGGGATAAGCAGTCCAGGCAGATCAGTCCTACCCTGGTGTAAGTCTATGCAAGAGGACATATTGTAAATGGAAAGGAAGGGGTGTGTGTAACATGAGTGGGAAATGGAGGAAAATTCTCAGAATCTAAACAGACCTTAAAAAGCTAGAGACAGTGGATTGTACTGATCAGAGCTACATTTGATCTTCCTTTTGTTATAAGCTTTGATTTGCATACAATATACCAGGCATTGTGGTCAGTGCAGGGACAAGTAATATCATTACAAGCATTGCTGACATGTCAGTTAAAAATAGTCATGACTGGCAGCATTTTAAAAATCCCTCAGTATTCATGAGTGGTGCATGTAACAGAGTCTGTCTCAATTACTTCACTCACATGCCAGCTAAGGCAAGATTTTTTTTTTCCACCAGTGAGTGGCTGTGGCAAGGCTAGGAACAATAAACCATATTTTTTAGTTAATCTGTGGGCTTGATAAACAGGATTGAGTTACTGGTTTTGGACTGGTGTGGATTGGGCAGTTATATCCTGGGTGTCTGGGCTTCTGATAAAAAAACAAACAAACAAACCTTGGGTCCATAGAAGTGTTGTGGTGGATAAACAATTAATAAAGAAAGCTTATTAGATAGGTTGCTAAGAAAGGCAAGAGCATAATGCTTCCTAGCTTCCAGCTTTTTACTCAAATTGTCATGAGTTGTTAGAAGGGATGTACAATCTTAGTACCTGTGAGAGACCTGGGGCATTTCTACATAATCTTCTAGGTGCTCTTAAAACTACTGCTGAGAAATGAGCCCACTCTGCTTGCTCCTGCACTGTGTGTGATGCATGCTGAAAAAATGTTGTATGGTGGTTGTTAGGCCCAGCACCACCCGCAGGAGTGTACTGGAGATTGAGATAATCTTTCCCAGGTTTTGGCCAGCAGTGCCCACAGGCAGGAGTGAGTGAGCAGGCTGCTTTCTCAGTGATGGTTTTGAAATTGCTGCAGAGGCAGTATAGATGCCCATTGGTTCAAGGAAAGGAAACTGGATAAGGACACGGGAGAAATCCTAGCACCCGTGATGGCAATTGGAAGTTTAAAAGCTAGTATTTTACCCAGGTGGCTTGCTTTCTGACCCCTTGGATTTGCTTGCTTCTAGATTGCATAGCATGTCTTAGTTAACTCATCCCTGGGGACCTGGTGGAGAGAAATGGCATTTGACAGTCCTTTAGCTGGGTAGCTCCTTTTAGGATCAGGGCTTATGGGTTTCTTTTGTTTTTTGTAAATGTCATTTTATGCCTGAGGTTCTAGAAATGAATTTTAAAAGTTTATAAAAAAAAAAAAAATACTGGAAACAATTATGATCGGAACTCTGGATATTTCTTTTCCAGTCTCACTTAAAATATTATCTGCCTGTTACTGGCACTAACACCTTTTTCATACGTAGACCTCTGAGGACTGTCTCATTATCCATTGAATAGGAAGTGGGCATAGAGAGGGAAAATGACTCACCCAAGGTCATTCAACAACTCAGTGGCAGAGGCAGAAAGAGAGCCCAGGTCTCCCAAGTCCTAGTGTGGTGGC